TTTAAGTACGACTAAACCGTCAGGCCCGGGTTGGATTGAGGGGTTGCGGCGCGACGATATCGAAAACGACCAGCAGATCGAAAGCCGACGAGATGGCAAAGCTGATCTGTCCTGTAGGACTAGTTCGGCATGGCAAGTGCAAACACACTTTTAATAAAAATGCGGCTCGGAAAAGGCTGCAAGGAGGCAGATGCAAAGCGTGCACCACAGATAGGACAAGGCCGGGAATAACAGTGAACTAGCGATAGAAGGATGATAAGGATAAGCTACTGGAAGGAAGTCGACAAGCAGCAAGTCGAAATTATATTAAGCTTAATATGTCTGCATATAGTGAGGCGGAAAAAATAAATCGAGTAGAACAAAACTTATCGAAACTTTTCGTGGGTCGAAAACCCCGGCTGTTCCCTTCTAGAGAAAGCATCATATCACTTAAGCCAATACAGCTCAACGAACGCTAAACGTTTTGTCGCAATTGTTTAATGCACTGTATCCTTGAATTATGTGACCTGGCTGGATAACCAGTATGCTTAAGGAAAATGTTTCCACCGAAATGGCCGTCAAAGTATGCCAGTTGATTTTATGTTCTACTATATTTTCCCTTGAGTAGCTAGTTCTGTATAATACAAATAAATAAAAAATCTACTCAGCACAAATGAGTGAGTTGTCCGTCCAGGAAAACTTCTTCAACTACTCTTCCTTGGTAAGCCTTCCCCTCGATCGTTTATCTGCCTCGTCCCACGACGCAGACGCGAAGGCTTTCGATCTACTAATTCATGCCCGTTAAACTGGGTAGTTGATTTTACGAAAGTTGAAGTTCTGCAACGTTTGTTCGTCTAATGCTTCCTATTCCAGTTCATTTGTCGTTCACAACGCAGCCTGAATTGTTTGGTTGGTCGCTTGCTTGTCTGCCTGCTTCGTTTTCGCTTTAATTTGCCGTATCTTCCACCCGTCTCTTTCGGGTGCGCTCCATCTTTGTCGTTGTCGCCGATATTTGTTCCCAATCTGGCCGAGCTACCAGTCATCCTACCCGGCTGGGCCTGCCCGAGCTGCTCCTGCACCTTTCCATTCGTCTACGGTGTACATACATATGGACGTTTTCTCTCATGTTTACCCCATCTTCTGCTAAGTGAATCAGCAGCCTAACGAGCCCTGATGCGCGTCCCTCTATCTACCTTCGGGCCTGTATGTTTGATCTCTTCCCAACGTAGCCCCGTACCCCTACCGGCGAAACACCAAACATGGTCTTCAGTTCGGCGATTCCGACGAGGTTAGTCACTTGCGTCCCCCACACCCGCACAACATACCGGCCACTAGTGAAGTAGGCGTCTAGTGAAGTCGCAAGGTGTATTAGTACCAACCTTTGTGGTAATAATAAGAGTGCTAGTAAATCTTTTGTTCGCGTTTGTAGATAGATCGCGACCGAAAAAATGCTATTAGAGTATACGCCTAATCCGCGCAGTTTAATTCCGTATTTGATGCTCATCAGGCATTTTCTTTTTTATGAAAAGGTTTGGTGGGTGAAAAGAATATGCCTGTACCTGAAAATCTTACCACGTACTAAAACTACAGGCCGGGCCCAACTGCATAAACGCTGAGTAAATTATGTACTGCGTATAGAATTTAATAAAGATGGGAATGAATATCGAACGACATGCCATAGAAAACTTTGAAAATTCACACCAGCTAGGGCAAAGCGGGTCAAGGTGGTAAATAGAAATTATCCTTTCGTCATCAATAAGGCGACCGTTGTTGCGTGGCTAATGGTTGTTAGTTTGTATGTATGTAGTGAGCTAAGGAAATTTGGTGACGACAAACACATACACTTATTTCAAGAATTTGTTCTCATGCACGTAGCATTTCGGTCCAGGAGAATCAAGTCGGAAGGATCTACCGGTTGGCCTCCAAACCAGGATAGGTTCCTGGACGAAGGATATCACAGGCTTGATAGAAAGTGCAAATATTGCTCAATCCCCGATAGAGGTAAACAGTAGGACAGTTAAGTTTATTTGAATCAGCCAAGCCTAACAAGCGACATGACCCAAATTAGAGTTATTCAGCATCCGGCAAATAACATTTCATACGCTGCAATTGACAAGACATAAATATATAAGGACTCAGAAGGATTTCAAGTTAAATAAGTTATAAACGTTCAGTTTAGAACAATTACTCTCGAATCAACAATTTCCTTTTCTTGTTAAATCTGTTTCAAGATATGTTCACTGATGTCGCATGAAAAAACCGTATCTAAAAGTGAGTCAAAAATTGGTTCGGATGATATTAATCGTGTCCAGAGATGTTTATTAGGTACGTATACAGTGTGTAAGCGACGATCGGTGTGATAGGACCGAAATTAATGGTTCTTTTATGGGATTTGAAACGCTAAATTGACCGCGATGAACTCTACTGAACATCACTCACTGTAGGTTTTTGCTGTTGTGCGTTACATGTAAAACATATCGGAAAACCGTAACGACATAGGCCGGCTCGGTAAATCAGATAAAATAAATGGTCGCTAATCTTCTACGCATCTGACTGTGTATTTACTGCCAATGAGAACCTTTCTTTCAAAAGAGTTCAGTCTTTTCGAAAGTTTATTTTCACACAAACTGATAGTAAGCTTCCGTTTCATTGCCACGATCGACACAAATCGTTACTACGTTTCTACGATGCTCAGCATTTTTTATATGACCGCTATTGAGGTAGGTATCTTCTTTACACGCTAAACGACCATACATTCCACCGTAACTTGTCGAACCGTACCAGTTCCAATTGTGTACTTCTCAAGTCTCCCTAGCGGTGTATCACAATGTAATTAACACCCGCCCAGCTCTGCATGCAGTACTCAGAAGTATACCAGTTCGCTGTGATTAAGTGTCTTTGTCCTCCGATCGACCGGCAGCGGTCACAGTTACTATGACAAGTAGCACGACAACTAGGTAAAGCCAGCTTCACCTTTACCCTGCAGCAGTGAATCCATAGATGAGTTGCTGCACTGAAGTAAACATCTATCCCCATGTTCCTCCCAAGGGGCTCCTCGCTAAAAGAGTGAGGAAGGCATTCCCACTTGTAGTTTCGATCTTTGTTAGCGAAATAGAAAGAAAGACGTAGCGAGTGTGATACAGACGCGAAGCTTGAGAAGCGGAGATGGGCTCTGAGTGGGTTCTCCTGATCGGGATCTACCTCTTCACCCCCACAGCGTCATGCCAACACCGGTTCGCCATGGAACCAAGTGAAGTGTTGTAGCAATCACCTTAATGTCCTGAGCCTTCTATGGATTTCTTGGGGCCGGAGGCCAAATAGAATGATGCGACTAGTGCTGGCACAGCTCCTATCAACTTCTTCTTTGCTTGCCGCAAATATTCCACAGGCCGTTGGCACAAGTGCCCCAGTCGGTGGGGCCAACGACAGATCTATGGGGCTGCCACTATTGCTTGTTTTTGGGTTCTGCTCAGTATAGTACAGCCTATATTCTATTCTCCTTTTTCCCCATGTAGGCCACATTCCTTTGCGGCCGGCTCGAAATCCGTGTGTGCAATCTATACTATAGGGCAGACAGATAGGCGACCAAATCTAGCCTGTCCAGTCACTATAGGCCATGTGGGCTTTAGAGTATACGATATACGCAGTTAGTCTCGATTGATTAGGGCTAGTTGCCCTCGTTAACTCGATCCCCATCGACTGGAAGGGATTTAAATAGTCCGCGGACTCCGTGCAAGGCATGTGAATGGATTCAAGGCTCACAGCCACAACAAAATACTTTGTCTAGCAAGGTCCAATTGTCGATCAACGATTAGTATTTATACTCGGATAGCTGGCGAAGTGATTTGCAAGGCTGAATGCATACGGCGCGTCGTCGTGCACGTTGGCAGATTATTTGGCTACCTCAGAGAAAGACTATATGTATGAACTTACCGGACTCTCTGATACAAAGGTGAAAGCTGGTGAGGATGGAGTTGGAGGACTCCGTAGACTGGATTGCATACCAAATAGGTCGGGTATCTAGGCTATCAGCTGAAAGCGACCGATTCGAATGAAACGGCGTGAGTTGAAATTTGTCTTCATATATCTAGACAGTACTCAGCACCTAATGGGGTACATTTCTAGCTGTAGATGCAAAGGTACGCCAAGTTAAGAACCGTATTATGCAGTTTCTACATATTTATTTAAGCGTGCATGTGGTTTACTTTGCATATACCGATTGTATATATCGGTGTACATCTGTACACGTACGTCTTACGCGAAACCGCACCGTAAATTGCGAGTGGCATGGTAATAACGGACAGAGCTACCGCTGCAGGATCTTTAGCTGTTAATGGTTTTTAATTAAAAAGGGTCCGACTGAAAAGGGTCGACAAAAATCTATTCAGAAAATTATGGAATACATTGAACTAACATGAGCAAGATCTAACACCCACTATATAAAACCTCACAAACGAACAATATAGTCTATACCGTTATTTCGATAGACCACTACGTCTTTGAGCATACCTGCAGATTTCCTGTAATTACCCTCGTGGCTAATTAATCAGTGAGTCGTCGATTTTCAATCAGTGCGTGGTAAACAGAGATAGTGAAACCTAAAACCAAACTTTTTGTACGCGTATCTTGAGGACTAGCCATTTTTCTTAGTAAACTTCGTCTTGGGGCTCCGTCCCAGGACGCTAAGGCTTCTGAAATCGTATACAATGTTTGCGTCTATCTATTGTGTAATAATAATGCTTATTTACTAAATCAGTACAGCGGTTGACTGCATTTTTCAGCCTAAGTGGTAAGTCCCGAGCTAGCATAAACGAGTAAGAACGAACTTTCCGAGGACATTAAACGTCTCCAAAACATTAGCTAATTGTATAATAACGGTATTTTACGACAAGGCATGCATCCGTTATGTGTTGCCTTAATACCGGCCAAACTGACCCCTTTCGACCGTTCGAAGGCAAATGCTATGAGGGTCAGATACACAGTTTATCATCATCACATACAGTATCAACACAGCCACATACCTGGACTCGTGCTTCAGATAGGCCAAGTCTCTGAGAAAGTTCTTCGCGCATAAATGCATCCGGGTAATGAGTTTCGTCGAAGAGCTTTTCAAGTTCGTTCAACTGCTCCAGGGTAAAGTTTGTCCGCGATCTATAACATACAAAGGTTGCAACATAATTACTTCGGATAAAGCCATCCTTACTGTGCACACTTTTGCTTCGTATCACGTATGCATATGCACCTATGATCTGTGTTAGGAATTGGGTCATTGCATTATTAGCTATGAGACGAAACGTCGTAACACAATACCAGGTTAGGTTTGCGTAAAAAGCGATGGAGCCAGGTTTAGGCGGGGCCCAAAATAGGTATAGGTGAAAAAAAAAACAACACTAAAATGATAAATCTAAAGTTTTTAATATATACGATAGAGTAGCATGTCGTCATAGGCATTTATGTACGTATCTGTGCAAGGAGATTCAATACGATCCATTCACCTTTGATAACCAGCTAAAAAACAGCCAGCTTTAGGCTGAGTTACTGAGAGAAAAATCGACAACAAATAATTAAGTATGCCAAATCCCGCACTCGGAACTGCAGATTATGGCTGCATCGTCTTTACCGAGCTCGACCATTCTTGTTCGACTTCGGTACATATCTTTTCCATTAAGTAGCACATATACATATAGTCCTCATATAATTAAGTTTCACTCCCAACTGTGAGGCAGTATTTAATGGAAGAATCAGATCCAAAGCTTGAAACGTGATTGATTACTGGAAGTTTCATACCTTCGCTGTTTTACGCCTGTACTATTGCGGGTATCCTTGAGCGCGTCTCGTTGGCCGAACGAAGCCTCTTTTAAATTCAGCGGAGGTCGTGGCGAAAGAGCGTCTTCATGAGAGAGACAATCGCCTGGAATTTGTGATTAAGAACTTTAGTCCGACTGCGTACGAACGATTCGGTTACCTACCGTCTTCAAAATGCTTTTACTGTTACATTTGCGGCAGTATGCTGCGAGTACAGCTCCTTGTTGCGGGCATAACAAAGTAATGCTTGCATAACACTTAGTAAATGAGACCTCATCAGTACAATGAGTTTCCTATAATCCGTTTTGGATTATGCATAATTTAGCATAGCGTATATATTTGCGTAGCACTCATAGTTTGTCATCCCTTGTTGAAGTTGAACCCACCCCCTGGATGGATCGCCTAACAGCTGGTTGATGAGGCATCAGTATTTTGAACAACACAAAATAAGCTCGACATTCAAGTCCAGTCCAACAACGATCAGCTTCTATAATACCTCGTCTTTTCTTCTTCCTACGCTTAGTATTGTCCTTTGTCGATGTCATCCATCGTGATACCTTACTGCGTACGACTTCAATCTGATCCGGGCGACAAAATATGTAGCGCAGATGGAAAGCCCCCTATGCGTGAGGGGTACGAAAAATCTCTTCGCATGACGATAAAGAGTCACCGTATTGACTTACGATTGAAGACGCTCATGAGCGAGCGGCAAAGTAGGGTAGCAATAAGAATTTCCGGGCGAACGCCCCTGAGCGGTTACGGCTTGATGTGGATTGGCAGGTGGTGCACGATTGCAGTGCCATAGAAAATAAACTTTAGCTAGTGGTGCAATGTTTGTGATACCGCAATCGACAAGTAAAAACCATGTCATAAAAAAATTGCCGATGAAGGATCGGTGATGAACGCGGAGCATGACATACCTAAACTACGAGACGGCTTCGGAACATAAAATATATTTAAGCCACAGGATGCCAATGCCTTTAATGATGAACGATTTTGCACATAAGAACTCATGCCGTCTGCTATAAAGTTCTGATAATGGTACGTACCTTGTACAATAATGTTACACGATATGACATAATTTTTAGAAATTTTAGCACGTTCTTGTATGACGGACAGACGGTAACTCAGATCCACCCCTAAGATAAAGGTAAGTTAGTGGGCAGTAACTTCTCGAGTGTTATGTAAGTAAAAAATCGTACGTACTATGTGCACAATGCTAGCACTGTACTTAATTCGCCGTTTAAATATATATATATATATATAACACGGTAGTAAATACGGTTTTTGTCCCTCGCAAATTGATAGCGACAATAAGTAATTTGTAACAATGCCTTAAATTGTTTAATATTGAAGCTTCGAATGATCTAGTGGCCATGTTTCTTTTTTCGACTTTCTTACTTGTTTGTGGCGCTAAGATCGTGGCGAAAAGCAGACGCCATATCAGACCAATTTCCAGTACAAGCAGCTCTTATAGCCCTCAAGCTACAGCCTTGATACCTTAAACAGCTTATTTCAAAAGGTATACGACTTAAAGCGGTTCGAAGCGCGCTTTGCTCGTTATTATCTCAGGATTCCTGTAAAAATAACTATAGCTATTTCTGATACCAAATCATAGGGCAAAATCGCGGAGAACAACAAGAATACATTTTGTAGATGAGGGCTTAGTAGGGTCGTGTTTTTTTGTAAAATTCAACAAATATTGTCGCTGGGCGTATAGATTTTTTTGCCACCAAGTGATTTAATTTAATGCTTTTGATAAATAGGCGATTGTTTGCCGATGTCAACGAAGTGATTAAACGAAACGAGAAATATATTTGCTGGGGTAACGTTCTAAAGGGCGATAACGGCTTCGGGACATGTGTTCGTTTTATAAAATCTGCAAATTCAAAAAGAATCTGTTTACTGAAATTGTAAGCCAAATAGTCGGCTATATAAGACAAGGCTCTGTTTAAGCTAAAAGTTGTCGTAAGTTAGCTCATTTGCTATGTTTATGGTGATCTCACACAAACGCTCGAAACTACATCGTCAAATTGACCATGTCTTCTACTGATTACTTACCTAAACAAGATGTCCGTCACTTTATAACACATTCACACATTCTGCTTATTGCCAGCCACTCTACCATTCTTGGCTACTCTAGTAAGTGCCTTTGAATGTCACCAATCGGTTGGCTACAGCTTTAGCGATAACAGAAACTACTGGCAGTAGATTCTCATCGGTTCACTCAGGTCTCGCTGTATGTATGTCGTGTCGTTTCGGATAGTCTCCGCCCGCTGTGCTTTCGGCACTCGTTATATCTGGGTGTAAAATCTCATTTTCCTAAAAGTCTCCGTTCGAGCGGCGGCGGCGGCTCAGTCGTCGTTGGGGGGTGCCGCCGGCATTAGCCAACAACGAGCCCCCAATCTTTTTTCTTTCCTTAACCTTCTCTCTCCTTCTCTTTGAATCGTAGTTCAGGGCGAACGACATACGAGCAACGCAACCAGCAGAAAACCTTTTCAACTTGCCATTTTCTCGCACCCCCACCCCTCTTGCCTTAACTTTCCACTCAAAAAGCGAAATTCGATACAAATCATCCTCCCGGTACCCAGCAAAGAGCTGTGCTTCGCTGTGTCAAAGTGTCATTGAAGACCGAAAGGGGGTAAGCGATCGTTTGTCTGCTGGAATTGCCGTTGGCTTCATTGAGACGCGTCATCCGGACCGGCGAAGACGCAACCCAAGACACACGTCAGGAGTCGGCAGTCGGCCGCTCGCTGATGACATGTTTGACGAGGAATCCAAAAGACAACTGTAGCAACCTCTTCGGTAGATAGAAACCTTTATTTTTGACTCAATTGTCAACAGTATCCTAGTCAACTCCATACATAAATAGGCCCTGGGTACGGCACACCAGTGGGCCTCTTCCTATTCATACGTTTTAACTGTTGCACTGTGTAAACACCAAAACAGTAATATGGGTCTTCCCCAATGCCAAAAAAAAGCCTTAGCTTCTTACATGGTCACGGGCTCATGCCCCAGGTTTATATAGATAAGACCGAGAAACTGACTTGAAATGTTGGGGGTGTTCGTAGCCTCAAAATAGTGGAGCCAGTAGTACTATATTTGCGGGAAGGAAAGCATAGTTGGAGCGACTAGTTGTTCCGAAGCGACCCAAGATGACAGCAGGAATGTTCTAGGGGGCAGTAGTGCTTGCAGACGCTGTTCCCTATTCCTGGAGCTCGTAGAGTGTAGGGACCGAAAATCACGGGGTGCTCGACTTAACTAAAGTACTCAACGATAAGATCGAGGCAGTTTGTCTTCTGAGAGGGGAAACAATAGGACAAACTTGAGGAACGTTGCCACAGCAGAGAAATTGACTGGGGCTACTCTGAACGCTGTTTCGAAACGCCAATAGAAAGAACTTGACTCGGATTTCCTGCCGACAGCGACGACTAAAATGACAACGATGGGGTTTTACTAATAGTAAATTTGATTTCGATGAAATGACACGTAAAATAGCCGATAAGTGATAATGAATTTCTCGAATAGGTTGCGTTGTTTCTACGTTATAACAACGTCACGCTGCTTGGATAAGCCTGGTCTGTCTGAATCTCCTCGAAATTGAAGAAGCTTCAAAAGATCGAAGCAACGATGAAAGGCCTACTCGGTTAGGAAGAGCACATGTTGAATTGACTTTTGTTAGACGCAAATTAATTTTGTTGACAATAAAGTCTCTTGACAAGATGCACTAATTGCATTGCTCACAAACTATGGTCATACGCGCAATAGCAATTTCTCAGTTGGCAACGTACAAGTACTTGAGAAGTTCGCATGAAGTTCGAAAAGGACGAAAGTAGCAAATAAGAACTACCCTATTCTTTAGAACTATATTTCCTTTAACATGACCGTCCTTTCGAACGCTAGGCTGTAAAAGACCTTTTCAATAGACATATCCTTTGTTCACAGTCACTGGCGACGCAATTGATTCGCTTCCAGCAAGATGTTTACGTCTTACATCTCATTTGCTCAAGTATAGGCAAATGATGACGCAATAATTTTCTCTATTCGTTGTTAATAGGATCTGAAGCACTAAGCGCTCATTTCCTTCAACTAAAGTTCTGGTCGTTCAAGTTTATAAAACTTCAAGTTCCAGTTCTCATAGAATAACCAACGTACTAGGTGTTTAAAAGAAGACCTAACGTAACGGAAATAGCAGGCCGGCCTATTCTTGTTTGACTGTGAGCGTGCACGTTTATCGATAAAGCCTTAGAGAAGTCTGTCCATAGTTTCATTCCTACTAGTAGAATAGAACTGATGAACCGCAAACATAAGAGAGAGCCCAGAGAATACGTTAACGACAGATGAGATCGTTGACATATGCATCTTTCTACAAGACCCTTATTGGACCATGTAGCAATCTTTAATTCTTCTTGTTTATATGAGTATAGAGTTATTTGCCAAATGACAACGTGAGGTATTTTTTTAGAGATTTAAAATAAATTTATGCCTTTTTATATACGAATGCTAAGAGCGTATCGAACCGTTTCGATAATACTAAATAGAAAGAAGTGCCGAACACCTAGTTGTTCCCACCTTGAAGATATTCACTTTGAATACCTTAATAGCTCAGCATTGTTTTGAATTCAGACTCGTGCTCACAGATCTCGACTTTGCCTTTGGTTTTTGCTTGAATTTACTCTATTGTCGTAAAGGCTCTTCTTTGCAGATGTTTCTTGAGGGCTGGGAAGGTCATACAGATTAGTATCTGATAAAAGGCAAGTGAATCCAACATTAAACATTGAGTTCGTTCCCTAGAGATACAATACAGATAGTGGTACATGAGCTCAGTACTGCAGTGAAGGACGCAGGATTTTTCCGCTCGGAGTTCAGGCCTACTTATCATTGCGCAATTATTCTTAAAACTTCTGGCAATGATAGAAGGAACATTTAGCATAAATATATAGTACAATGTTCAAGTAGTTGAAAGACAGAGAAACGACATCTGGCTAAAAGCCAGTCATTAAAAAAAAAAAACTCAAAAACTTAAGTGACGTGTTTGCATATTCTCAAATTTGGTCTACGGATGATTGCCAAACAGCAGATTGCAGCGGCACTCGCCCGAACATT